CCATAACACAAGCTTATTAATTGCTTACTTTGTGGCTAGATGGTGCTGTGTAAAATTGACCAGATATTAAATAAAATGAAAATGTAAGATGGTATTTGATAGACATACCTGCTGTAAAGTTTGCTGGCTCTGCAGCTGTTGCTGCTGCAGAGTCTGCTGAAGAGTCTGCGTGTGTTGTTGAGTATGCTGATTCTGTTGTTGTTGCTGCTGTTGTTGTTGCTGTTGTTGATGTTGCTGCTGTTGTTGTTGCTGCTGCTGCTGCTGTTGTTGTTGTTGGAGAACCTGATGGTTCTGCTGAATGCCGTTAGACTGCTGGCTGCCCTGATCAGGATCGGGGCTCGACTGGTTCTGAGGCTGTAATAAAATACCCTAATTAAGCCAATTGTAGTGGCAGCATGTTTCATTAATAGATCATCATAGTACCTATTGATTGTTGAAGCGTTGAAGTGACAGTTACTAATATTATTATTCATTTTATTTTTGGGAGGATATCTCCCTCCTATATACCTCTACCCTTAGATTAACCCTTAGATAAATCTAAGCCTCTACCACAATATTCATAAAATTCCCAAGTACTTATTGTTTCGTTAATTTTTCAACTTGGTTAAATCAAGATTTGACCAAGGTCAAGGTCAGTCAGGTAATGCCTAAAATAAGTTGTGATAATCACAAGAACTGTCTACAAAATATAGCAGTTCCCACAGATATCCATATTATTTGTGGCAGTTCCCAATTGATGAAGATGATGAAGAAATTAAAGGGTTTACAAAAGTAGGTAACCTAGGTAAAGAAATAATATTTAATATCTAGAAATCTGAAAGAATATCTACCTAAATAATGTGAAAATCTAAGTATAAAAGTTTTGAAACTTTGACTCTATTCTATGAGGCTTCCATAAAAATTTAAACAGTTGTTACCAATCACAATCCAAGCAGATCACTGTCTGTTTAATTTCCAAACACACAAAATAATGTGCTAAACAACAATAATATCTAGCAATCTCCTACGAAATTGTTGCACACGCTATAAACAAAATAAACAATGTAATGTAAATAAACAAACGTCAAACACCGAAACACGCGCGACATCTGATGGGTATGAAATTGCAAGTTTGCAACAATTTGTAGTCAAAACAAAAACTGTCTAATTATCAATTTTTTAAATTTAACCGGAAATGTGAATGAATGAATGATTACAACAATAATGACAAGGGGTCACAGAGTAATCACCATTTTTAAAAACACAGAACCGACGATCAATACATCACAAAATAAAAGTGGTATTTGTTTGTTTCAAATACGTAATAATGTAAGAAAACGTTCTACTATTGATTAGAAGCATAATTAAAAATATTTAATCAATCAAGAGGGGAAGACCAAGGAAAGTTGTTGGTATGTTCCTAAAATTCTACTTATTATAACTTATAAATGTAGTTTTCAAAGAATACTATAGTTTAATTTCTTGTATGAATTTATTTTGTAAATTACGTGTCTAATTATTCTGACTTATTTTTAGTCTATTTTTACATTTTACTTTTATAATTAGGTAGGTACTTAGGAAATAATTAAATCGAACTTATTTATTAAATTTTTAATGCTTTTTGTAGTTCGGCATTCTAATCTTGATCATCTTTGATAAAATTAGACAGTTATTGATTCAATCCGTAAAACTCCATTGAATATTGATTGTGTCTATCAGCAGTCGTAAGGTTCTTTGTTTCATAATTTAATCAGAATTATAAAACCTAAGATTGTATTTTAATGTAGGTATACGCAAAACATTCCGTACCGTTGGAGAAGATGTTTGTTGAGACTCAACTGAGCCTGATGCATACCACCATGGCTGCTGAGGTGATTGCTCCCTGGTATTCGTATTTGAAATTAATCGGTAATCGTAACTAGCTGTAGAATTATCTGCGCTGTTATTGGAAAATCCGCCGGTCATTTTGTATGTGTATAATTGATGGGTGGCTGCGGCGGTACTCCTAGCGATTTCTTCATTAATTTGTTGTTGGTGCTGGAGTTCACCTGCGCCACCCGGCCACCACGAGGCTTCGTCGCGCGCACCCCAAGCGCCCCCCGTCGCGCCTCTGTCCCCCATGTTTCAATCGCCGCTTTTGGCTAACCAGTTTCTTTATGTTCCACCCGCTAGTACTTCAATATATTCTTTGTGCGTATTTTATGAAAATCATGTCCTTTTACCAATATGTTACGAGCGCAACGATCGTTATTAATACTTTAATTTCACTTAGACCACTTGCACTGCTAACACAAATCTGTTTTTATCACAAAGACTTCATATGTTCACTTATTGCACATCGTTCTGATTTATTATTATTTTTATAGAAATTGAAAATCTTCGAGCTTTTGTGTATTGTTCAACCAAAAAGCTACCGGCTGTAAGTTCCACTCCACGCGCGTACGTTTTGTCTTCGTTTGTACTTAAGTCAATAAAGTTGGCAACGTCGCATAGCGAGACGCTAAACAAGTGCACACAAGCGCCCTCAACGCGCAGCGGCCATTACGGAAACGATCGAAAATGTACGAAGAGAGACCACAGATATGGATAGATGCAGCATGTGTCAAAAATTGTATGAAGCCGAGCGTGCCACTTTTTAAACGTCATTAGTGTCATTTTAGCGAATTTTAGTGATTGCCGCAACGTAAAAGTAATCGTATCATCGTACTGCATTTGCAAAGTCATCGAATGATATCGTGTGACTCGATTCGAAAATTAATTAATTCCGATAAAACTGATAATTTGTTAAATACAAAACCAAAAACATCTTTATTTACCTTTTTAAAATAAATTAATTCTTACAAATCGTCAAATCTCGTTATTTTTTTTACCCTACCAGAGCGTTTCAAGACATAAAGTCAAGTGCATGAATACATGCATCAATGTTATTGTTATGAGTAAGTACGGTTCCTTGGGATCGGTATGAGTGCACCACATACATATGTTTGTTACGCGATAACTCCGCCAATTATGAACCGATTTGAACAAATCTTTTTTCGGCGTATAGGTAATACCTCAAGGGTGGTCCCATTTAAATTTAATAATAGAAAAAACAACCCCCAAGGGTGGAAAATTGGGGATGAACTTTTTATACGCAATATCTCCGCCGATTATAAACCAATTTGAACGATTATTTTTTTGTTGAATAGGTATTATCAAAAGGGTGGTTTCATGTGAATTTGAAGAAAATATTCAACCCCCAAGGGTGGAAAATTGGGGATGAACTTTTTTATACGCAATATTTTTAATTTTTAGTTTTTTTTTGTGTTCACGCATTTGAAGTCGGTTTTATTTTTTTAAAAAGTTGATTATCATAGATAGGCTCACAACTTAAATAGTGTCCCACGTACGCTCATTTTTCATTCCACCCAAAAACGTCCACAGCTGCTGAATAAACTTTCCCTTTCACCCCAGGATTTCCACAGTGACCAGTCCAACAATTCCCGCATCCAGGCGCTTTCCGTAACCTTCACCAAGTCGTTGGTCCACCGCATCCAGGGCGCTTATCTACACCAACTTTTAGTTGTATGTAGTGTACACAACGTCTCTGGTCCGTAAAGAAATTTTCTGATACATATTTTAAGGCCCGCAGTTCTACGAGATATTATTATGTGTATGTGCCCCACCCACTGCCGAGTACGAGTGCCATTAGAGTCAAATATAAATCATCCATGTATGGTAATTTTTTCAAACTATTTTCCATAATAACAACGAATCTGTGAAACACCTCAATACATTATCAATTAAATTATTATATGTGTGCTTTATACTAGAACCAGTGAAATAAAATATGATAAGCCTCTTCTTAAATAACTTCTAGATAACCATTCGACATAAAGAATAGAGCAATAGCCTAAAATACCCAATCAAACAGTAGTGGGCCGATGAAATTGGCAGAGCAGCAGGCTACTTGCAACCGGTCACTGAAAAATATCTTAAGACAACGGATAATAAAATATCTATGTTGGCAGTGCATGACCTATCCTATACCGCCACTGCCATTAATAAAGATTGATCGGAATTAGTTGATTCACTTAGAAGGTTATAACGCTACATAAAAATAGACAAAGCTGATACCTTAATTATTGAGAGGAAGTTCGTAGAAAATGAGTACACCCAAGAAACTAAGCGTATACCTATTTATAGCTAGCTAAGCTTCAATCAACAATACCAATTAGATATCAGGTCAGCGCAAAAAATCTGTCTCGGGAAATAAGAGCGCGAGTTCTTTTATTGTAATTAATATCTTTTTTCGTCTGGCATCAATTTCATTTATAGTCTTTAAAATTCCCATCTACACCCCGTAACTGTGAGTTGGCGTTAATTAAATAAGAACTCACTTCTCAAGTGCGCTGTTATTTCGCGAATAACGCTGTGTCGCTGACCCGATACCTATGTAGTTGGTATTGTTGATCGAAGTTGCTAAGTTTTAAAGGAACCATACAAAGAACACCCTATCCTGCACCCTACCAGGACCTAACCACCTTGCCCCATTAAGATTTTTCTAATCTAAACTTTTAAAGCTGCGTATTGCTTTTATAGCGAAATAAATCAACCTACAACATTAACGTAGTAGATAATAAATTATTATATTCATAATTAGAATTGAAAATTCACCAACCCAATCAAATAATTCATTAATTCATTATACCAAATGACTGGACAATCTGAAGACTAATCTAAGTGGGTGGTAAGTACCTGGTTAAGTACCTACGTAAATAAGTTTTTTAAAGTCAACATCAATTTCCATCCTATTTGTGTTAGGAAATCGGTCTCTATTTAATTTTACTAAAATAAGTAAGTCAACAAGGCACGAAATAAGTATTAATATGTTTCTTAACGCTTAATTTTCTCAGTTAAAAGTTCACGGGTGAAGTTTTTCAGTAAAATACAACAGATTTTATGAATCAAAATAACAATAACTACAAAAATATAAATCGTTTCGATCATTCATAGAACTTTGATTTCTAATTAGGTGAAAAACAAAGTTGATTGGTGACATTGAGATAAAAATGATGAAAGCTAATAAAGCTATTCTGCTGAAAGAAAGCTCAAAGTTAATCTTCATTTCCGCTACAGCTGTGAGATTAACAAATAATTATAATATCTTTATACAAGGAAAAAATATTTTCTCAGTTTTTGGCGGTAAAAAACTTCTTGAGATTATTTTATAGACTTGCAAATTAAGTACAACATTTACAAGTTTTCCAATATTTAATTGATCAGATTTTGAAAATAAGACATAATTACAGCAATGAATTAATGTAAACACCTCTTCATTGTTTTAATACTTACTTATAGCATTTGTAATGTCAAATATTTACAAACAGTGTTTACTAAATGCGTAGAATCAAACTTTGAGGTTATGTCTAAATTGCTACTCTATTCAAATAAGCTTCAACAAAATCGAATAATACTAATAAATAACACCTACCAAGAATAATAAGAAGTACGCACACTCACTTACACCACTATACTGTTGTCATGTGTATAATGACACTTTACTCCGGCCCTCGGCAGCCATTTGCTTACAAAATTAGAATGTAAAACTATAAATATCACTTGGGGCACAACATGAATACGTCTAAAATCAAAGGAATAATATTTACAATTCCACACAAATAATCTGCTAAGCAATATGGATGAAAATTAGAAGAAACTAATATAACTTACCAACTGTGTTTATTACATCGGACACACGATTTCAGCGCTTATTACGTAGGGAACTTCGCGTTTGTCATAATGAGTACGCGAGCTAGCAATGTCAATGAGAAAAAAATTTCATTGGTTGAAATTGAAAGTCCCGCCATATTTCGGCCAATCCGCTTTCAGGCGTCGGCTTTATTTTTTGTTTATAATACAACATAGCTACGTTGTCACAATGCAACTATGCACACATTCACGAATTGAACTATTTTTTACGAACGAGCAGTTTGAAGGTGACGTTTCAATTTATTCTTAATGCCTCTTGACATAAAGACTAATTTTCAGTAAGTGAATGATTGAATGGGTTGTCAGAATGACTGACAGAGATTCTGCCTGTTTTAGCTACTCTAGTCAAATGGCGATCGGTCGGTGCGAAAGTGTATCCTATTCTTGTTTATACAGTGGTGTTAATTTTAATATTATTTCAATTGAGTTCAAATGTGTCCCAAATAAGGATCATATGATTTTAAAGCTTTGGTGATTGACTAAACCACGTATTTACTAAATTTTATCTAACCCAAGCCTCAGGAAACTTGTAGCTATGAACATTTTGGTGCATAAGTGCAGTGAATAAGGAATTGCTGTGCTCAAATACCTAGTGCTATACAACAGCAAGTTTGCCGGTGAATTGTCTTCATTTATAGCCCTGTAGTAAACATTAGAAATGTTCTGTGTTGTTAAAAATCATAACCTCAACAGTGCGTCTTTGTGAATACGTCGAACTATTTTTCATCGCCTAGTGCGAGGTCTGGCTTAGAAGTTTAACTTATTTGTTATATATGATTCAACGCGAGTATCAAATGAACAACGGGTTTAGTACAGGGGAAGAGGACTCTAGAGGAAATTCTGACCAAATATGTTGCCTTGTGGATGACGGTGAACGGTGCAGACGACCCGCGGGCAATGCCGCGTATAGCAAACGTATACAGAAGACTGTGATGCAACGGAAGCTCAAACTCAACATTGACCCACAGGTAATCCATTGTTTTTGTCAAATAAATCGGTAACAGCGAAAATAACTCTTTGTTCATTTTTAATGAGTGTGATTTATTTTTAGGCAAGGCATACATACATTTGCGACTATCACAAAAACATGATTCAGTGTGCAAGGACGAAACAGAGGAGACCAAAAGACTCTGAGGACGACAGTAATGAGGCAGAAATGGACACCCCAGAAGTGGATTGGTTCCAACTGCAAGTGCCTACACTAAGGAGGTACAAAAAGCACTACAAAGTGCCAACAAGGCCAGGCCTAAATAAAGCTCAATTAGCAGATGTAAGTACCACACAATGTAAACAACAAACAACACTAATATATTCAACAGAATTCTTTGTGTGATAAGAATATTAATTTATGCCTACTTTGATTCAGATAACCCATGTGTTTCAATCTCAGAAAATATTAACATTTCTTTGTTTATTTATTTCAGGCTATTCAAAAACATTTCAAGACTTTACCTGTAAATGAAAAGGAGATTATGACATATTTTATCTACATGGTAAAAACAAATGGCAACAAGTTGGACCAGAAAAATGGAGTGAACTCTGATTCAGTGTAGAATAATATTAATGTAATGTAATTTATGGAATTATTTAGATTTAATTTTAGTAATAGGTTTTAGACTTCCTATAATTTAATTTCTGGAAATATCTGTCCTTTTTCTGTATATGAGAGAACTATGAATTGGGAATCTAAATATGATATGAAGTATATTACTTCTGGCCAAATTGTAAGCTATGTAAATCTGATTGTATGTATTTTAATTATTATTTTAGAGTACACTGTCGCTAGGACAATTGTAAGTTTGTGATTGACTTGTACCTACTTCTACAATGTAATTTTGATCATGCAATCTAGATTTGTTTTACTGACATACTTTATTGTTTTACATTTTGCCTTGTCAAGTTATTAAGCTATTGAGGGAAATGCAATTGCTAATATAGTTAAGAGAGATTATAGTAAGAGAACAATTGTAAAATGTGAATTTACATTTTATTTAACAAATGAAGTTTGTTATAAAATAATTATTATTTAATTTATTTTCATTCTTCTTCTGAATCTGATGATATTTCGATCCATTTGGATGCTCCCTTCTTGGATACTATCTCTGCAGTTTGTGGCAATGATTGTACAACTGGAACAAGAATAATAATAATTATACTTATTAACATCTCCCATTCATGCATTATGTAAATACAAAAATTATACATGTGAAAAATGTAATACACATTTCATTATTATAACATTTCAATAGAATACTTCTATTCATTCATTTGTATCAATTATTTATTACATTTCATGACACAAAACTGATACTTTACATGACTTCTAACTTCTTGAGAAAATCACTTAGGCTGGGTTGCACCATCTTACTTTAACTTTAATATATGTCAAAAATCTATAATACTCCATAAAAAAGCACCGGTTATCGTCATAGTTCCCGTTAAAGTTAGGTGGTGCAACCCAGCCTTAGTCTGGTGAGATTGTTACACCATTGGTAACACCATTTAACATTGAAAAAGTAGGTTAATCAAAATCTGAAATTACCATCATATTTGCTAGGCTCTGGTTTCATTTCAATATCATCTTCATTATCCGTATTTCGTTCTTTGGGTTGCAAATCATCCAAATCATAATTCTTGAGCCGAATACTGATATCTTTCTGGCTCAATGCTAGCAGGTGATCTTCAGTGATGATATCAGAGAAGTTTATTTTTCCACGCTTTTGTCTGGAACATAAAAAGTTATTAATTAAAAAACCATTTCAATCATATTAGGAAATTAATAGAATAGTTTGTAACAAAATAAAGTAACTCACAACAGTGGTTACAAAATTATTAATAGGCATGTGGTAAAATACTTTGAGGTTTGAAGATAAGAGAGAGAGATAGCAAGCTACTTTATGAAGCAAAATTATTAATTATTATTTTTGCAGTAACTCAAACAGTGTTTTGTTTCCTTATTGTAAAAATAAATAAAGAGTAGAACAGAAAGAATAAAGATATAAGTATGTGAGTCGTCTAGTTTCAAAACCCGCTAAAACGCTCCTGCAACGAATTTCTGTTTATATCTCTAAATGACGTTACTGCAATTTTCTCATCATACTGTTCAATCATTTTCGATCAAAATTCGCTTAAAGACTACTAAACTAGCACTTAAAATTTGGTTTGTGTTACAAACTCCGCTAAAACGCCGTCCGTTTCTTTCAAAACCCTCTAAAAGTTGATTGACCAATGGCAGCACGGTATTTTGGTCACGTGACTGCGAAATCAGTATGGAGATTTTTTCATAACATGCTTAAGGTTGCTGCGGTTTTTTATTGTTTTTGATCCAAAATAATAGAAGATTTATCACAGTTCGTGGAAAAATGTAACCCTAAAGACGCAAGAAAGATACCACGTAAAGAAATAGCCTGGAAACGCACCAAGGAGCGCCAGAAACGGAAAGAGAAATTTGTTAAAAAACTACTTTTGAAGCAGCTTTGATGGTGTTATGCAAAATTAACCATTTAGCTGTCGTTGGTTATTGTTACTATTAAGTGTTGGTGATCACTACTGGGATTATAGAAACTTCACTAGCTCAATGCCTTAAGACGAATTTAATTATAAAGGTATGTTACTTTTTACCCGAGTGCAGGAGGGTGATGTGTTTCGAGAGTAGGTAGGTATGTATGTGTGTATGTTTATATCCCTGTACAGTCAGTCAGTGAAGTAAATAAATAAATATCGTGGGATGTTTTTTTTATGTGACAGGAGGCAAACGAGCAGATGGATCACCTGATGTCCAGATGTCCAGGAATAAATATTATGTTATAAAAAGGCAAAGACGAGATTGAGAAAATCTATATATATAAAAGAAAGTCGTGTTAGTTACTTCGCTTATAACTCAAGAACGGCTGAACCGATTTAGCTGAAAATTGTCAGGGAGGTAGTTTAGAGCCAGGAGAAGGACATAGGATACTTTTTATCCCGTTCGAAATAAAAAAAAGTCTGCTTATTTATTGCCATTAAGGCGGAACAAAGTTCGCCGGGTCAGCTAGTAATTTATAAAAGTTTCTTATTTACTATAACTATAATTTAATTGTTTTTTTAATAACCCGATAAAACTTGATTAATCTAATAACCTAACCAATAAGTGCAATCGCTTTGAATATTATAGAATGGACAAATTATATGGACAATTATTTATTTTATCATTTTTTGGGTTACTTAATATTAGACTTTATTGTAGAACGCCATTCATGCATTACAATTTGTTCTTATCAAATCCCGCTAAAATACAACATGTCCGTTTCAAATCCCATTAAAACGGAATGTTCGTAACAAAGTACGCCAAAATGAAAATAGTTTTCATTATAATTCAAATTATATTTAATTTAAAGGTGAATAGGAATTACTGTTAGTATTGCCCGATGACTATAATAATTCGTATCATATATTTTTTTGCCTAAGGCCAAAGCTATATGGATAAGCGGTTTTTTTCAATTTCTCGAAATCTTATCAAAATCGTTTTAGCGGGATTTGAAACTAGACGCCTCATGTAGGGTCCAAAAAGGCTACTTTATTTTGATGTTAATTTTGATCTTATGTGATAAAGAATGTCATTTCATAATTTCTCTATCGTAATAGTTCATGAAAACAATAATGTCATCAATACTATCCATCTCCCACTCACCCTGGAGTATTCTAAGAATGTAACAGCAGAATTAGAAAGCAATTGTCATTTCAAATGAAGTATGAAACCACTTCTGACCAAGGAATTGGTATTCAGTTTTATAAAACATGCTGGGTGCCTTAATTTTAGGTATTGAGACTTCACCATTGATTGGAAATGTTAAATCATTTGTTTTTCAAATCGGTTTCATACCTTATTGTGTCATCACTAACAATGGTCTTTTTCACCAAGTCCACTATAGTTTTGCTCCTGTCTGCTGCATTTATTATGGCCTTATGCACTACATTTGAGTTGTACAGCGGTGCTCCAGTCAAATTAAGTAGGCATAACTCTTTGTATTGGTTCATTCCAATCACGAGTAAACCTCCAGCTGTGTTTATTCCTTCTTCGGTGCTGCTGGTGCAAACGGATTCTTCAGTGAAACTAGGGTCTGATAGAAGTGTGCTGAAAAAGAGAACAGTTTATTATTTTTATGGGAAGGTAAACAAAAACTCTGATTAGAAGGAAATAAGGGAAAGAATAACTTGAGTCTTCTAACTTTGTTTATGGTATGGTAACTAGTCAAATAGTGAAAGAGCTGTGAAGAACACAATCAAGAACCAATTTTATGACACTCCATTTTGCTTGTGTATTGGTTAGTGCTGGCAATATAGAAATAAGTTTTTTATGGACAGCACATCAAGCTAATTGTAAATACTATGCAGTTGAAATAGGGGCTATTTTCCAACAATAATGTAGTCTGAGTGGACCGACCATCGCAAGAATCGCGCACAATGGCCCAATCATGAGGCCAAGTGCGGTATTTGATTGCCCTGCAAAACTAAGGTAGCAAGAAAGCACTGGATGCAGGCAGCCACCAACTGGCCATTGTGGAAATTATTGGGGGAGGCCTATGTTCAGCAGTGGACGTCCTATGGCCGAAATGATGATGATGAGATAATGTAGTCTGAAGTGCTGTCAACTGACATCTACATTCATAATACTTACTCATTTCCAAATATAGCATAAGTCACACATACTGGATAGTGGTACAGTACAGTTGGAATTGGATCTTTTTCTGCGATGGTATGAATTATAACATTGTCACCGCTACGGGTCACATCTGGCCTCTTGAAGTGGGCCAATGAGGTGAGTGTGGCTATGCTGGCACATTCTATCAAGTTGCCTGCGTGGTTCAAAACCTTGATGTCCACCCTGAGAGACCATACCTGGAATGAGCAGAGGCAGAAAGTGATGTAATAGGTAATTAAGTAGTGTGGGGAATCCCCTCTTTGTCAATCTTTCAACAAATTAACATCATTTCTTGATCTGGCTAGAATCCCAGAGGCAACTGTTATGATGATGAGTACAAAATTAAAAGATAAAGATGTCAGTTAAATAATAATTTGTGTATAGAAACTGAATCCTTACTTTTTCTTCAACCACTATACACAAAGATTCAAGATCAATGCATTTTGAGTCCTTGTAACACTTCTCAAGCAATCTGTTCAAGTATACTGTGAGGTCAGTCTGTCTATTTGCTTCAAACTGCGGTGCGGCCATAGGGCTGATCTCCACATTGATGTACAAAATGCCCTCATTTGGCCTGATTTGCTTAGGCTGTGTCACTTCACAAGACACCTGTGCCAGCACTCTGAAAATGTTAAATTTTACATCATTATAGTTTTATGAGAAAAAGAAAAACATCGTTTCGACTGCGAGATAGAAATTGTAAAGACTTACTTTGTTTCACCTAAACAAACAATACAACTACCGTAATCTGATCCAAACGATATATCTAGCCGTCTACTTTCATTGTAGTTTCTGCCATCTAATCGCTGAAAAGTATAAATTAGAAGTTCATTAAATAAATTCGATAATTTAAATAACAACAGTAGGAACCAAACTGAAGTATACTTACGTGGCCTTCCGATACAATTTTCTGTATGAAGCTTTTTTCACAGTTTGACAAAAATACGTCTCTCATTTTTTATTATCCAGTCTCGAATAAAAATCAAAATATTCATAAAATTTTAAGAAATAGGTATACGATTTTTTGGTTAGGTCACGAAATTAATCAAAACATGCGAATTTGACACTATTGACAGCACGAGCTCAGATTATATAGGATTTTTTTAACAGACTAAAACGTGATGTCCGTTAGTAAATCAAGTGCAAGGTCACCTTGGCTATGTAAACTGATAAGCTCGGATCGCAGTATAGTTAAAATTAACAAAAGTACACAACACAAGCTATTTTCCTACGATTAAAATGTTATAATGATTTTAGCGACTACTTTGTGAAGCTTTTTCAGGTGACTTAAGGAGGTTGCCTGCGAACGAGTGTAGTCGGTCGGCAGACCATCACCGACCAGTAAATACACACACCCAAATTGAAAGCTGTGAAAAAAAATCAACTTCCGTATCCGTTTTTCTGTTCTTAGCGGGAAATTGATGTGATTGTTTCATTTGTTGACGCGTAAGTACTTTTACCAAGCTGTAGCTGTATCCTTGATAATAAAATAATTTAAGAATTAAATTAGCTACAAGACAGACAAGCTTTAAAAGGGGCTTACGACAAAGTTATTTACTTATACAGTAAGTTTGGATGACCACTAACTACTTCCTTCAGCGCTTTTAAAATCATGTTTACGAGTACGGTGTTCATTGTGCATAAAAAAGCAATACTAAGTACTATGCCACCCAAACGTAGATGTTATAGCCATAGGTAATTAAAAGTTATTTACTTATTTATTTAGTGTATGGACGCGGACTTAATGCCGTGTGGCATTCTTGACCAGTCAACCATAATATGTACCTACAGAACAAATTAATTAATTTCAAAAATAATTAACATATTCAATAAATGTTATTTAAAAACGTTAGGTACATAAAAACGAAGTCAAATGGAAAGTAAGAGTAAGTAAGTAAGTAAAGGATGTATGAAGGCACGGCACATTTTAAGCTTAAATATAAATAGGAATCTTATGTAGTTGTAACAAGTATGATTTTGCAACCAAAATGTATGATGTTCTGCTGTTTATACAAAGTGTCTATAAGAATTTTTTATTTGATGGATTACCTAATAATGTTTGTACTGTACTTAACGTAATGAAGGTTGTCATTATATCCCGTTATTTACGTTACGTTGACAATTTTATATCAACCCCTGCTTCGGGGGCATTATGTGAAAGTTACGTTGGAAATGTATAGAGAAGACTCTATTATTTCTATTCTTGTTGTGCGAATTAAGGTAAGATTACATTGCAATTGCATTGGAATGGATGGACTAAGTTAAAAATTAAAAAATCAAGAAGATCTCGAACTGAAAACTTGATTGATCATGTCCTCGTCAGTCCACGTGCAGGTATTAATTTGGTAGAGTTCTAAAGTTCGAAACTTTAAGAAAATAGTATTTGGCTAATACAGTTAATTTGCTGTTTTAAAAAAATTAGGTACTGTAGCTTAAAATACATGAAGGCTTAGTACCTACTGAGTAGAACCAGTAGAACGAAACACGGTAGTCACTTGCAAGTTAAAAAAATCAGCATTATCCAATATCTACAGTAATGTCCACAATGACCTAACGTGCAATAAATATAGCGTGTGTACCGATGACCCATTACGATCGTGTCATTTGCTGCCTTGCGGGCTCATCCTCACTTAGTAGCGACATGTCAACCCGTGGACATCGCACGACGCGAATCAACCCCCCATTATAGTCCCCTCGTTAGTCAGTTCACAATTGTTAACCACGCGGTTACCGATTCTTCAACATTTTCAATTTCAATATCGCGCCATGATTGTTTTGCCATTTCGCGCGTACTGAATTCAGTTGCCCGCTTTTAAAATGCCATGGCCACCGGAATAGAATTAATTATATCGACAATATGCAATGCTACGTTTTGCGAACCGGTGTACGACAACCCTGTATTAGGTAGGTAATGTGAATTTCAAAAAAGATTCGGGCAGGTTGTCCGTCATTCAACATCATTATGATATTGGTTTTAGAGTCACACACATCGTCGAATTTGCATCAGTATCGAGATTTAATTAAGGAACTCAACGGAAAACATCTGAAAATTGGAACTTACAATGTAAGTATACCCTATCATAAAACGCCTGTTATTCAATCTCTCATCTTTGAGCAACACGTCGATTCAGAAACACTTCTAATTTTTCAAAGAATTTCGTCATTTTAGAACCGTCCTTTTAGCTGGGTGGAGCGAGGTGAGAATGGCACGCTCATCGGAAATGGAGTATCTTTCGTCCTCGTTGACATTCTGCAGAAAAGATTCAACTTCACGTATGAAGTGGTGGTGCCCCAGAAAAACTTCGAGATGGGCGGCGCCAAGCCGGAAGATTCTCTGATCGGTCTTGTGAATAACGGCGTGAGTTCAGATTCCTATTATTTAAGGTTAGGCAGTTAGATTTGACGAACAAAGATACCTGTAATAAGCCCTATCCATACTTGCCATTCGGGGATATGGATGGACTTAGGTTTTATTAGGGTTCGGGTAGGAATAACCTGGACCAAAGGGCTATTCTTCCAACAGGGGTAGAAAAGGCGCCCTTTGCCTCTAGGCATGAACCAAGGACGATCCGGTCTATGTGGAAATCCTTTGGGAAGGCCTTTGTCCAGAAGTTGAAAATACTTAATAAAAAAGTTGGTTAAAGAGGTCCCCCTTACGAAAGTAGGTAATTTTATTTGTCACAGCAAGTGGACATGGCAGCTGCATTTCTGCCAAAGCTGACGAGGTTCCACGAGAAGGTTAGTTTCTCCTACGACTTGGATGAAGGCATCTGGGTTATGATGCTGAAAAGACCAAAGGAGTCCGCCGCGGGTTCAGGTCTACTAGCTCCGTTTAACAGCGCTGTCTGGTTAGTATTTTCCGTCTTCTGCACTCGCTGATTTCTTTGTCATTCTGCTGTCGTGGAAACTTATTGAACTCCTATAAACTCTCCTTAATCTCCCCGTGTTTCTTATGATGTAAGGCAAAAGTGATCGAAGTGACGAGACGAGGCAAAAATAATGTCATCTACTTACGAGTAATGTAAAATTAAATTATACTTATTTAGAATACGCACGAATATTAGTAGGTACGCAATAAAGATTTGAAATTGAAAATTTGAATTTTAAATAAAAAATGTTACGTTTGCACAATGGATCCAAAAGATTATTGCTATATCGACCCACGAAAATAGCTTCATTTAGAAACCCTCGCAAAGAAGTGCCTGTGCTGGTGGGAAAATCAACAACTTGAATAAAAATAAGTTCTTACCAGGTACCTGATCCTCGTGGCAGTATTGTCGTATGGTCCCTGCATCACTCTGCTGACCAAGCTGCGGTCTAGACTGGTTCCAGATGGCGAGAAGTACATCCTTATGTCGCCTAGCTTTTGGTTCGTCTATGGTGCCTTCATCAAGCAGGGGACCAACCTTGCACCTGACGCTAGTAAGTTTATTCTGCCTTTTGCTTTGTTTTGAAGAGTTCAAAGGTAGAATGGTAGGTACAGGTGTTTAATCAAACAAAAAGGATTGATTCAACTGCTTAAATTCAACAACTTAGGAACTGTAGGAATACGACCAAATACATAGGTAAGTACTTATCAAATTCTCTAAGAATAATGTCGCCCCCTTATCACAGGATAACTTGTGCCTATAGTTCATACTTAATTGCTGATGACTGTTTGTTGTTTGGATTTTTTGGAAAATTGAATTTCTTGGGGAAAGTTTTGAATTTTAGCAATAGAATTAGGTCCTTTTTGTTCGACCATACCAATGAATCATCCTGTATACTATACTACCATGTAGCAGATAATACATTCTTCATACTTCACCCTTAGATTAAGACTTCACCCTTAGATTAATAAGACTTCACCTAAATCCTTGATATCATAAACCTCATATTACACAAAAATGTGTTGAACATACCTACTTAAATAACTTTAAATGGTATACGAAAGTACCTACTCATTATAGGAATTACCTACCTGTGTTTGCGGTCAATCCTGACATGAAAGATGCTATCGCTAATGGTTTATGTCATCCATCACCTCCGGTCACACCCTTTCGTCATGATTGTTATGTTCAAGTAATTACACCGAAATTATGGCCAAGTCGGAGGCAAGCATTTTGACAAATGATTACTTACGAACGGGTATGTAGGATATGAAATATGAGCATAGCCTTGTCATAGTTCAAAGTGTAACTTTTGAACACTATTACTAAAACCTATTCACGTAGGGTATCATTGTGTAATCGATTTTCATCGTATAACATCTAGATAAAAAGGTAAGTAGGTACTACTTAGGTACCTACCTAATATTAGGTTCTCCATGATTATTTTCAATGAATTTGTACGGACTTATACTACAATAATAATATAAGTTACTCCACTAGGCATAAGTAGTTGCCATCATTATCATAATAGTCTAAATGGTTAAAGTTTTAGTGCAATCCTAAATAAGCAGGATTGGATTGGCGAAGAATTCAGGATTACCGACATGGTACTCACTGTTTATTTACAAAGCCTCATATAAAAATATATCATGAAATAGAAATCAATATCAATCATTTTGATGGCTTTACTTTAGGCACTACTTTAGGTATTTGGTTATTTAAGTATTTTAGCTACTAAGAAATCTGCATACAACCTATTTATAAGCTTATAAGTAGCAAGTACACAAAGTCAGAACAGCAATTCGTTCATTAGGTGATTTATGTGAAACAAAAATAATTCAGGTGTTATGGAGAGATCAATGCATTACCTAAGCAAACGAACGTTGCTAAATTCAGTATTACTTCTAGATACAACCCGAGTTTTATTCACAACCTGGTGGATCTTCATAATCCTGCTCTCCGCGTTCTACACGGCGAACCTGACTGCCTTTCTCACTCTCTCCAAATTCACTCTGGACATCGAGAACCCTCAAGACTTGTATAAGAAGAACTATAGATGGGTGTCTGCGGAAGGTGGCGCGGTGCAGTATGTTGTTTCCAGTGTAAGTTTAGTTTATTTCAGCAGTATAATACCTGCATATGATGATGATGATGATAAGTATAAAACTTGCGATGCGAGCGGCGCAGGACCGGTCTTTGTGGAAATCCTTGGGGGAGGCCTTTGTCCAGCAGTGGACGTCTTTTGGCTGAAACGAACGAACGATATAAAACTAATCACCAGTCATACAGTCCGGGGTCATTTTATTTTCCAAGTCCTCTATTAAGTATCTTCAAGTCCTTTTACTTATAGTGAGATGATAATATGAGCAACAGAATATACCTATAATACTTAAGTATGTTTTTGCATGTAAACTTAGTTTAGGGGGCAGCTTTGCACACTGCGTCGGTTATTAATTAATACTTAGCAGCCTTGACTGACCTTTTGCAGCCCAACGAAGTTCTGTACTACCTCAGCCGTATGATATCCACCGGACGGGCCGAGTTTCGTTCCATGACCAGTTTGTACGACTACCTTCCTCTTGTGAACGGTGGAGCTGTATTGGTCGAAGAACGGGTTGGGATTGACGAGCTAATGTATGGAGACTACCTCAGAAAGGCAAGGGAAGGCGTCGCGGAAACAGACAGATGCACCTACGTCATAGCTCCCAATTTCTTCATGAAGAAGCTGAGGGGATTTGCGTATCCTAAAAACAGCAAGTTGACTGGTGTCTTCGATTCTGTGTAAGTAAATTTTGCTGCTATGAACCACGAACACCATTCGCGTTACTTATTGTTTACTATTCTACGAGTACAAGCAGTACCTACTTACTAAATAAGTCGTTTCATAAGGCATAAGCTTTGGTTTTGGGTTCTAACTTCGATGAATCTAATAATTGCTCATAATATTAAAAGGGGCTTACCATACTTCCCTAAGCAATCCCTCCACTACATTTCGAAGGAGGATGCCTAAATAACAAAATTAAATTATAAAAAAATTCAAGTCACCCCCACCGTTAGTACAGGACCACTATCATAGCTTCGACCATGTAGGATCTTCATTACAAAATTCCATTTCAGCTTATCATACGTCCTACAAGCCGGCATAGTGGACTTCCTGGAACACAGAGACTTGCCCAGCACGAAGATATGTCCCCTGGATCTACAGTCGAAGGACCGGCAACTTCTGAACAGTGATCTTCTGATGACCTATATGATCATGTTCACTGGGCTTGCCGCTGCTATTGCCGTATTTATTGGAGAGGTATAAATAAATATGTTAATAACAAGTTTTTGCCCACTGATGGTCTGTTATGATACCTACCCAACAGTTCTAACTGTCTCCTCGTCGCTAACAGGGGGAAAGATCAAACTTTTCTGTCCATTCTGTCACCCCATGGGGACAGAGCAGAGTGACAGATCGGAATAGTTCACCTGCCTCATGAATCATTTTCTATTGGTGAAAACCGGATGAAAATCCGTTCATATTGAGTTGATCGCGAACAAAAGAATGACCACTGATCATCTAGAGCAGTGGTTCTTAACCGGTGGTCCCTGGAGGCATTCCAAGTGGTCCACGAAGACATCGTAATAAACAAGTGACGTGACGTGATGGAGTCGAGTCAACACAACGTAAACGGCGCACAGTGGGCGAGAAATCAATCTCCCCTTTCATAGGATTTTGGAAAAAAAGTGGTCCCTGACAAGACCGTGGTAAAATGGTCCCTCGTGACCTTTGCTCGTGACTTAAAGGTTATGATCTAGAGAGCCGATGATTTCTCTTCTTTCTTGCAGGTCATCGTCAAACGCTACATCATCAAGGATTCGAAGAGTAACAAATTAAAGCGCAAGAAAACCAAGTTCCAGAAGAATCCTCGTTTTTACAACTATGATGATAGCAGACCTCCACCCTATGATTCCATTTTCGGACGGAGCCCTAAGATCAAGGTAGGTGTCGTCCAAGGGATTATTCGATAGTAGGTACTACACTAACTTACAGATTGAAGGATGAAGCGCTTAGCATATGCTTGGTTGATTCTTTCTTGGGATCAACATGTGCCAATTTGATTTGGCATTTCTATGATAGCTTCAGTTTTTAGCGGAACATCAAGCCAGGTACTAGTTTTGTATCATAATGGACTGATGCCTAATGTACTGCTGACTCTTACACCCGTATTCACAAACGATGCTTGCTCAAGGGACATAGCAAATCGAACGCAAAGCGTTGAATAGAGGTCTGCGATTGGGTCGTGTGACCTTGTACGTCCACGCGCACTGTGAGACGTCATAGTAATGTTTGTGAATACGGGCGTTAGTGACATGTGAAACTAATTTTCCATGCATAACAGGTGAACGCTGCCACAAAAACAAAGATCATCAACGGCCGGGAGTACTTGGTGATTGACGCTGCTAACGGGGACACACGGCTCATACCAGTGAGGACTCCATCGGCATTCTTGTATCGGCTTGATAGATAGATATTCTGGACAGACTATGCAACTAAGATTATGCCTTATCTGGACCCTATTATGGACCTTATTTGCTTGCAAGATTCTGGGAGTCCGGTATACGGACTATAAGCCACGTATACGGACATGCGTAGACCACGGATTTTTAGTCGGCCGATAGTTGGGCCCGATTCTCATTGGTATGAAGAATCAATCGGTGTAATGTGCGCACTTCCATACATGCCCGTAACTGATTAACTGCCCGATTACACTATCGGCCGACGAAAAATCAATGATCTGCGCCTAGCTAGGCTAACACATTGGACCAACTTAAGTAATGGTCCATATTACGATTGGGCGGCTACGAAGAATTTTATTAGATCCAACATAATAAAGGTTTGAACACATGAGAAATTAATCGCCGAAGTAACTTTCCATAGACAAAACTAAATGGGTTTTGTAATAAAGGTACCTTATCTACTAAATGATTTTGTTGTTATTTTTAAAAATAGCAGTTTTTAATAATTTATTTGCAGTGATTGTTGATTGATTGTTGATTTTTTGTATGTTCGAGATTTAAAGACGAAGTCTGATTGAAATTTTAAATGAAGATTTTCTAAGATTTGTAGAATAGATAGATATACCTAGATTGTTAATTTTAGATGGAGTTTTTGGAGTTATATTTTTGTGTCTAGTTTCTTTAGGATATACTCATACATATATTTTGGATTTGAAGTTTTTGTGTAGTTTATATGACATTAATCACTGTGCACATGGGAGCAGAATATATTTTAATAAATAGTTTTGAGTATGAGAAAGTTGGGTTGTCATTAAAATGCCTCAATTCAATACATATTTTTATTAACTGTGAAAATACATTCACAATTCCTGTAACATTCAATCATGATCTTCAACGTTTGATTGACAAAACAAAATTAACTAATAAGATTTATAAATAAAACTATTTATTGGCCTGTTAAACAGCATTTTATTCGATAAATAAAATACAATTATGTATAAAATAAGGGCGAATAATATACCTAAAATGCGGTAAAACAGACCCCGTCCAGACTGTGTATTACACGTACAATACTACCCTACATTTGTACATAAATACAATTTATAGGTACATTTTGAGCGAACGCCTGTAACACATCAGTCGTACCTTCGCCGTAACAACTGCGTAAATATATTTTGTTGATAATTCATTTGTAAAATCATACATTAATATAGCTTAAATAAAATAGATTATTGCAATATTGACGAAGGAAAAATTGATAAAACAGTGTGTGTAAAAAGTAGACCATGATTTTAATTCGACTGGAAAATACCCGTGATCGATCAATAATAGTTATTATGCTTGGGACAGATAGGTTAATGTTATCATTTATGATTATTAACAAAAACAATACATTTGAAAACTTTGTTATTACTTTAGAAGATTGGCTGTTTTTTACTATGAATAATACAATAATTTCTGAAGGTGAAATATCAGTATCAGTAGTAGTTAGTAACATACCTATTGTAGATACTGGTACTACTGATACTGTATCTTCAAGATATTGATCGAAAACAAGATAATTTCCACTTTTACCCAATCGTATCTTTTAATCCCTTCGCTTTCCTTAATTTTTAATTATTTTAACCAGTCTAGCTTGTATAAACTTCACGCTTTACTATCTAATTAGATTTAAATATGCATTAATATGAATGTGCTTATAATTAAATTAACCTTTGTTATAAACAGCGGGAGATTTTTTAGAAAACTCTAAATTTTTGTAGCCAAATATCGCTAGAACACTTTATTGAGAAGACTGAAATATTAATACTTTTATAAATCCTCGAATACGCGTAAATATCTGAGAATGAAAGTCGGAAAGATTTTGCTTTTGTTCTCAAATATTTATAACATTATTTATCATTAAATCTACAGTCTTGATAATTTGGTGACCTTCCCGCTAAGGGTGTATAAAACGTGATAACGATATCATTGATAAAGTGCATCAACTAATGTTCGCTATGTAAGATTGTCTATCTAGTAGTCATTGCAAAGTATACCCGCATTTTCTAATGGTAAGAACACACTATGGATTTTTTTTAAAGAAGCAGACAAGACCTTCTGGCGAGGTCAATAAAATAAAACCGAGGGGTTTAAGAAAACAATTGAACGTTGGAAATCTTTAGGAAAGTATCGTCCAAGAAACTTATAACTTATATGCTGGCTGGAAAATTTCGTCACAATAAAAAAAATGTGTTTTTTTCCGACTTTCGTTTCTTTTATGCCAGTCATAAAAAAGTGTCATCCTTTTGCCATAGCGTGTACAAACCATAATACATTACAAAATGCTAGCAACGCCTGGTATATCCTAAGCTAAGATTACGATCACATTTTTAAGTATAAGAAATAGTTCTTGCCAGTGTTTAGGGAACTATTATTATAATACAACTAGTTATTTACATTTCAACTGTCCTACAAATGCATATATTTGGAGAGTTACTCTTTTATTGCTAGCCGAGGTATATACTGTCACTTGCTGATACATGAACACATTTTGTGGATGATTAAGGCTATTCGAGTCGCCGTTACCTGATCATCGCCCATTTAGGAAGCTTCTATCTTCTTCAAACATTATCTAATACTAAAGTTATATAAAATTACTGCAGTATTTGGATTTTATAAATATTTACGACAGTTGACCATGAGATCGCCTTTATCTAGCATGAAATAAGAGCAGTTTTGCGCTGTTATATTTGATAAGCTATGTGTACAGTCGACAACACATCAAATTATATATTTTTACGTAATAACGCCTTTTACAATTTCATAAGATGGCGCAGTACTTTGTTTGATGAGCTGTCGTCCGTGCAATCAAGGGTAGTTATACAATTTTCAATCTTAATTTGAAAGCAATAATAGCAATTTTAAGTTATAAATAATTTCAAAACGTCCCAAGTTCAATAATATTCTATGGACTAAAACGTTTTGATCCTAGCACGATTTAAATATTGTTGATATTGTCAGACAATATTTGATAGACCTCTGATCGTTTGTCGCTGCGTTCGCCTCAGTATCAGAGTACATTAATGCGTACTTAAACCACTTAACATAATTATCAGGTGATGTTACGTTGATAAGATTGTTTAGGTAAAGTATGCAATTATGTATACACGTGGCTATAGATTTAAATGGTCAATGACCTCATTAGTAATTAATTAGAGCATCAAAACATTAGAACAATATTGAATCACTAGACAAGACAATATTAGCTATATCGGTGTAATTGTACTTTATATGTAAGGAATAAGGATAAATACAAAACTTATCAGGATAGGGCGTCGTCGACGTAAATTAAATCTTCGGTAGGTAATTAATTTTCATATTTAACTTCTTTGGGTGTCACGTTAGGTATGCCTATAATCCACAAATAAATGCTTTACTATTTTCGCCAAAATTATTCAGAATAACAGCTCAATAGGCTATTTGACAATGAAATTAATAGGTAAATATGTGACATATAAAAATGAAACTTATTTCAGATTGTTTTTCTTACTTGGCGCCAGGCTTTCTGACTCCCTATTTTATTTAAATAGTATTTTTTTAATTGCAATAGTTGGAAGAAATACAATACTTTTTATGGGCTCAATGAACACCACAGAGGTTTTATAAACTAGTCTGGTCTAAGATGGTTTTTATAAACCAGCCTTATCTACAATAACAGCCGAGCTCGTCAAATTATTATTAAATGAAATAACTTAGTCAATATTACATTAAAAGAGCGATTAATTTATTTAATGATTTAAACTTTGGAATATACTTATTGTTAATTAATTCGGAAACCATGTCAAAATCTATACGCAACAAAATATTTTTATACAATTCAAAATCATGTCTTGTAGACAAAATAATATTTTCAACAGAAGTAAACAGTAGCAAAGTAATCAACAACTTTGTTTTGGTATTTACCACCTTATTGCTAAGTAATAACTACGGATATCTTAACTATGCTTAGTTATAAAACAACACATCCAAATTGCAACCGAATTATTTTAAGTATAATTTTGCACCCTAATCGGGTGGACATAAGAATAAAATTGTATTAGGAACTGTGAGTCACAGGCAACTAAAAACAGTGTATCTGTTAAATCGACGCGGCCTTGGAAAAATAACCTTTCTTTAGTTAGGCATTAGATTTCATTTAAAGGCATAGGCACTGCCAAATTTTTTTAAATCACCCCGCATCATTAGTTAATACTAGCTGACCCGGCGAACTTCGTACCGCCTTAGCGTAGAGATTTTCTCAATATTTTTTTCCGTAAGAACCATCCTTGGACTTCCACAAACATTTAAAAAAAAGAATTATCGAAATCGGTTCAGCCGTTCACACGTGATGCCGTGACAACGCGAAACGGGTTTCATTTTTATATATATAGATTATATTGTTAAATTATGGTTGTTGAAGTAGTTCAATAGGGCTTAGCCGTTTACATAGTTTCGGGTATGTCTGTCACTATCGCACATGCAAGCAACTCGCTATGCGTGAGAGGGATGAAAACATTCGAATTTTTCAGAGGTTTCTAATTTACAAAGAACAACCGCAGTGATTGATTCCACATACACTATTTGAGACTCACGAGTTACCACGTCTCTACAAGGCTTTTAATACAAAAGGAACGGAATCAAGTATTAACAATAGCGAAACTTTTTGTAAAGAGGCTATTGGAAAATACAAATACATTACATTTATTAGCTCGTACAATTTCAATTAAATTACGAATACTTTTGGTGTTAATGTAATCGCACGATCACTTTCCAGCTTTCCAAGCAAATCTACATTCATAAATTGGAGTGATTTCAGAATTAAATTAGAAATAAATTAACGTTTTATTATTTTTTTAAATTAGGGTTAACGATTTTCTAGATCTACCTTCTAGAAGTCAAAAGCAAATGAAAATGGGGCCACTGAACGCGTTTTCTACGCTATATATAACAATCTGTCATTTACATAATACCATGTAAACAAAATGCTTCATTATTTCTTTATGCAAATGACAGACTACCTACGTAAAGAACATTAAATAAAGTGAAATTGAATCGAATTTTGAGGTAGTTGCGTCATGCGGTCACAGCGATAACATGTCAGGTCAAACTACTTCATAAATCGATTCAATCAATCAATAGTTTATTTGCGTCAGTACTTCATTTGTTTTTTTACATATTTCAGGTATACGGCAGGTCTCACTTCTGAATTTAACCTATTTTGTCCTCTCCCAGTCGCAAGTGTCAAATATTAGAACATAATCTTTTGTCTTTAGATCAACACTAAAGTAGGTGACAATACAGCCCACTTTCGCCTGCACGTGTACGTTATTCTAGTTTATTTGAACAGTTATTTCGTAAACAAACTGCACCTTATCTCGACCTGGGAGAGTCGTTAATTCTCTAAAGAGTGAGACCTGTCTATTGTGCTTATAATAAGAAATCACTCAATGCGAACAGAATACTCGTCAATTCGCTATCACGCCACACATATAACGTGCGACTGGGGCCGTGAGGGCACGCCAGCCTGTCAGACCGCGAGCTCACCTTCCACCATGGGCGATGGGAGCAGGGAACTAAAAAGAAACCACTAGTTACTGTACGCTCAGGCTTGGATTAGGTTGGTGCAAGAACCAAGCTAGGTGCTAGTGATTGAACGTAAAACTAATTACATCTTGAGAAAGAGACATCAGCTTTTGCATCAGTATTAGGCTGAGTCCACGCTACGATTTTTCCCGCAAGCGGTAAACCGCCAAACCGGAGACCACCCGAAACGTATACGCTGTAAAAAACAGCAATACGGACGCTTGCATTATATGGTTATAAAATCACGCGGTTAAAAACGCGGGGGTTTAGCCGTAGTGCGAACTAGGCCTTAGTTTCTTGTTATATTATGCGCTTGCACAGTTGACAGCACATCAAACTCTACATTTTGTTGGAAAGTAACGCTTACTACCCAAGATGCCAGTTGTAGCTTGATGTGTTGTCATCGGTACATGATCTCCAGCCACGTTTGTTATGATAAAGACATGCTCTGGAGTGCTTTGACGTGACTGGTGCTAGTCACTTCCACAAAGAAGACACTCCTTCTGACGCTACTGAGATTTTCCTTCCTATCTCTCACTCAATCTGAAGTATAGCTTAAATGTCAAGAAATACACCTTCTAATTCTAATAGTGAACGTAGCACCCAGCTTGGTATTAAGTTTTGCATCAACCATACCATCCGATGTTTCCCTTATAAGAAATATGTGCCAAGTGATAAACCTTCAACTTTAGAATGCGTTGCGATTGCCAATTATCTCTACCGCTACCATTTAACCTTTTTTGCCATGCACTTTGACTTCCAACTAATTTGTAAAACATTGTGCTATTAGCATAAAAATTGGTCCTTCGAGCCGGATAATTGTCACTACTTCTCTCTACTCTACTAACCCGCATTCTAAAGCTTCAAGGTTCCAAGTAGCCGACCTGGTTTGTTGTCCGTTGGCTGTCATAGAGTTATTCGACTCGGTTCTGGAGCCCATGTTTCGTTGTCTGCATAGATACGGCGTGACTGTCGGTGAAGGTGTACTGTGCTCCTGTAAAATAGATAAATACATCTATAGAAGTTATTCGATTTTAAAAATGAAGTAAAACTAAGCAGTTTTTAATGTATAAGCGCTAATGAGTACTAGCATGTTCGTAGCATGTGGACGTCTAAAACCTAGCTATCATTAGAACCATACTTCGTTTACCCAAACGGACACAACTAATTACGATTCCAAAAGCGATGTGAATGCTGATATCTGTATGATTGCACCCAGTTACTTACAATTTCAGATGTCGAATATTACTGCGCTACGTGGTACCTGGCATGATAACAAATGCATGAACCTACTATGATATTATATTACACTGCACAACAAAATTGCAACTTTTGGCTGATGATTGACTTTCATTACATGATGTTTACTAATTTGACGTCGCTGATTCTGAATCTGCCGTCCATTTTTTCGTAGCAGCTCTTGTTTACGTGTTATAGCTTTCACTCAAAAATTGCTAAATTTCAGTCTTAATTCGCCGACAGTTCAAAAAATACTATGTTTTCTATGTATAATTTAATATGATAGCATTAAGAAGTGTTTGTGTGAATGATCTAAATAAATTTTGTTTCATTTGCGGAGAGGATATGTTTAAATAATCCATTTAAATGTGACAAAGTTCGTAAAATTGGCTTACAAAAATTAGTTTGGGGACCCAGTGGAAATGAAAGATAAGTTTTGAATTCCGCAAAAGGCGTGGAAAAGATGCGTTGAGTTTTTACGTTTATAAACAAATAAGAATATGTGTAGATTTAGGTACGAAACCGCTATGATCTGAAAGGAACCCTTGAACCATCGCGACGACTGTTATTTTTATTTTTGAACAAAAATGGTATTAACCAAAAAATATTGAACTAAATGGTAATTCCTTGCATACGTTTGGCATGTAGACGTCTTTTCAACCCTAAGAAGTCACCTGAACCTCATGTTGATACTTCACATGAGGATTTTGAGGCGAAAACTGTCAGTGTGGTAGAGACTTTGAATGTGACCCGAAATTTTCAAAACCATGTAGCCAAGATGGTTTAAACGATTGTTTTAGAGATTTAGGATCTTCAAGTCTTCCGAAAAGACATGGAATGAGTTATTTTGGCAATTTAATTTTTTTTTGGAAAATCCGAAAAAATCTTACTATTCTTACACATCGAACAACGTATGAGTCACTTACAAGCATGTTTTTTTGGTTGGATGTAATATAAACATCGAATTACACTCTCTTCGCAATCACCTGAACAATTTTATCACAACTCTTAAGGATCTAAGTGAAGAACATAGCGAGCAAATCCACCAGGGCCTTCGTACGATAGAGGGACGCTATCAGGGCCACTGGAATACACACATGATGGCTGACTGCTGTTGAATCATTCAGAAGAGCTGTCTGCCTTCAGCATCAGCAAGGAAGTCAAATAAAAGAAAGGTTGTTCAACTTAACAACTTCATAAAATAGGATCATCTCTAAAAAAAGAGTGTTTTTTTACAAAAAGACCCAAGTGTCATATTTTTTTAACCAGAGCTGATACAGACATTTCAATCACAGATTTGAAATCGTCATTAAAAATTGGACTAATATCATGTAACATAACCCAATCATCAGAAATGCTGTTGTGCAGTGTTATCGATAGTTTGTTAGTAAGAATATCGATATGTGGTCAACAATAGCCTTGATTCCTTGTCTATGCTTGCTAACACTTGTGATTAAGATTGATACTGAGTACTGACATGGTAGGTCGTAAATACTGTGATTAATTGATAGTTAAAAGTATGGTGATGGCATCATTTTCTCCGTACATACGCCCTGAGCAACACTAAAAAGCATGCCCATTTTAAAGTATTATTCCTGCAAGTACGAGGAAACATGCCTTTGATGATCTAATGCTTTGTTATTCGTAATTTGCTTGCAGTTCTAGATCAATAGAAAATGAATGGAATATTGTTTTGTGGCGCAGTAAGATACGGCTAGTTTACTAATGTGTATTGTATGTTAACATTTACATGGGTTCATAGGAAACTAATTTTACGATACTGTGTACTATTAAATAATCAATTGTTTTACCTTTTCAAACAAAGCGCTGGGTACTTATTGGCCAGTCATTTCCATATTTAAGAAGGTTAGACTAATTTCATGGCCTTCATAAAAAGTGCATGGGTATTGATCGCATTAGGCTGACCTTTAAAGGTAACCAAATGAAGTCCTTATACCTATAGATAGAGGACGGAGTTTTCATAGCAACTGTGTTAAAATCTCTTTACCTTTGAAAGCAATTAAAGTTAATCTAGTTCAATATAAGTAAACTTTATGACTTGATATGAATTTGATACGTTAGACATTAATTGATAAGGTGAAATTTTACAAAGATTGTAATAATATCGGACAATATTCCTTACATATGAATGGAATTTGTTTAGTAACAGACGCTATACACCAAATTCCTTATTATTTCCCATGTCTAAAGTTTTGTTAGTATAAATTTAGGGATTGGAGTTACTCACAGACAACACAAACATTTAAAACAAACTCACATGAAAGAAATATAAATTTTACTATTTTTTTAAATAATAATACACATAAAATTTGTACATTGTCAATATTGGCACAAACATTATAATAAGTCATGATTTAGTATAAAATCTACATAATTGAACAGTTATTGTCGTATAAAACTAATATCACAATATAAAATGCAGAACTGTCAAGCCTCTGTAACTATCTTGAGTATCCCCGTGGTAGATTTATCCCGGTCAGCATAACTGTGCCCATTCATGGCTTTGATCTCCTTGAAAAAGATTATCGTACCCTTATCGTTTCTAAACTGAAAAACTGCAAGTGAAAATAGAGAGAAAACTGCTAAGTTACGTGTAAAGGTAGATTGGGGCCAAGTTTTGAGATTGAATATTTATATTTATTTGTAGTGATCTAATAAATTCTACTGATAATATTATAGTTATGGGGATTTTTTAAATAGGTTTAAAAGATTTTTTATTTACTTTAAAGCAATATTATAGGGCTTAGGGCCTTCGCCCACGGCGACATTTTATGAAACGCGCGATAGCATCGCTACTAAAGTCTGTTCGCCGAGAGTTGATAAAAAAATTAAATATCAGAGGTTCTAAACTCATTATAAATTGCGGCCCGCTAATTATTTTTGTCGATATAATGAAAAAGTTGGTAGATTATTTGGCCTGGCCTTTTTTTTGGCCTGGATTCTCGGCTCGGTTACAATTTAATTTTGGACTACCATTTATAAGAATGTTCTAAAAATACCTACCAAATTCTACTAAACGATTTCGCACTACTAAATCATCGTTCTCTTTGCCTCAAATCTACCAAAAAATTAGAAATCTACTAAAAGTGGTCACGCTGTGGCCGCCGCCGCGCCCGCCAGCCGGGGCGCTTTACGACTTACGACAGCTGCGTGTCTCGTACCATGGTACTCAGTGCGCGTTGTGACAAACGACGCCCGCCATACAGAATGCGATAATTAAGCGACAGTCGCTATTGCAAGACATTTCATAATATTTATCAACTCTCGGCGAACAGACTTTAACGCGTGTTAGTCGCATTTGCAACGCGCTACTAACGCGCGACTGCATCCCTACAAAAAGTCGCCGTGGGCGAGGGCCCTTAACTCAGTGCCTGAGATATGGCGGACGTCAAATGTCAGCAAGACTTCAGTGTACTTACCATGAGTTTACGTTATGTGTGCTCGCTAGCGAGTACGTCAAAAAAATCTATGAAGATTTTATTTCTTGAAAGTAGCCGCTAGGGGCGCTGCACAATATCTCATACATTTAATGACATTTTTTTACGAAGTCGCTAACGAGCACACCTAATAAACGTAAACTTATGGTAAGCACACAGATGTGATTCAGATTTGTATGCTCTGTCATAAATATGATTTTAATTTGATTTTAATTATTTAATGCAATTATTATTATTATTGAAATTTTATGGGCCCTGGCCTGAAATAAATGAATTTTATTTTTTTTATTTTTATTTATAAATGTCAATGTCACCCCTCCCATACATCAGGCACTGACTCAATTGTGCGCTAGATATACCAGTAAAATATAATAATAATGGATATTTTATAACGAATGGTCATAATGCAATGTCTGCTTCTTGACATGTTTTATTTATTATTGTATTCAAACTTAGCAATAAGTATTTCATTCGAAATGAAATGTCATGACATTAAGTATGATTTGTTATAGTCTGTCGATGTAAATTATGTCTTGAAATTAGCGTTTGTCTTAGGAATACAGAGCCCCGATTACGGTAATTTTTAACGTATCCAATCCAGAGCCAGACGCGCTTCATCGATTCTGCGATACGATTGGTCAGCGTAATGATCAAAACAGCGTACGTCAGCTGTTTTGACCAATCGTATCGCAGAATCGATGAAGCGCGTCTGGATTGGAGACGTTAAAAATTACCGTAATCGGGGCTCAGCATTGCTAACGCCCTACACACCATATGAAATTGTTACCGAATTCAAGGGTTGTTTTCATGGGTTACTATCACCCGGAGCATAGTGGAAAGAACTTATTTAGTCAAACATAGAGCTAAGATTCAGACTATGTTCGGACTGGCAATGTAGGAGTTGAATTGGAAACTGAGAGAAGAAGTTCCCAGAAGAGAAGAGATTCCCAGACTTCACATAAAAAAATCCCGAAAAAAAATTAATGCCTCAATAATTCATTATTTTTCATTGCATTCATAAATTCTGGTATCACAGTTATGATCTTCGTTAGGTACGTCTCTCGCGATTGAAGAAGTATGTATAAAGGTCTATTCCACATTGATCACCTGGATTTGATCACCCAGGTGATCAAAGCGGACTCCAAGCGACAATTTTGTGTCCTTATATCACCTATAGTTATGATCTTTCCAATATGCTTGAAAGGTAATTGACTATTAAGGGAAAAAACTCCGTCCGATCCGAGATGGGAGATTCAGGCGCCCAAAAATGTGAAGAACCAAATAAAAAACGTCGTCATCCAAAACTTGATAAAGAATTTCACTTTAGCATTCTAATGAGGATTTTCGCGAATGAAAAATCCGCCAGATGGCAATACGTAGATGCGAGGTCCAAATGCTGCATGATTGGTTATTTTTGACATGACATTGACAGATATGTCAAAATCCACCAATCATGAAGCAGTCAGACCCCACATCCACGTCCCGCCATCTAGCGGATCTTTCATTCGCGAAAACCCTCATTGTTCGTCAGGCAATTTCTACGGGAAAAAGAATAGCCCCCCTTTCGGATCGTACAGGGTCGTTCACGCCTCGTATATGCAACTCACTTGCTGGTTGGGCCCGCAGCACGTCGCGTTGTGGCAGAGGTCGTTGGGAGGGCAGTGTAGCGCGCAGGGCGCCTCCGCTGACGCTCCGCTGGTTATCTATAACAATATCAATAACCATTGCATTATGTGACAAGCCGGGCAAAACCTCGTTTTAAGATTTAGTATGAAAAACTAGGCTACGAGGCTTTCACGCTAGATACGAACACAATAATAAAGTACTGCATAAGTGTTAGGGGTAGGTAGAAGTATTACCAATCCTTAATTTTTAAGTGACACCTATCACATATCAGGAATTTAGTTTTCATAGGGGTGACTTAAAAAATAGGGATCGATGGTGAAAACGGGCATAATATTATGACAAGACTTTTATTGGTTAAAATGTTGGTATTAAAGTCTTATCTAATTCTTCTGTTTCCTCTTATTTCACTTGGGGTCGGACCTCTTCGTACTAAAGCGCCAAGACAGTCTGTCCTGGGTTGTCTTGTCGTTGAGTTCCAAATCCTTTGATACGGTTGACAATACTGTAATCCAAAACGACTAAATGTCTTTGGACATGTTTAAAGTCGGATTCTTTAGAAATTTCCCTAAATGTAAACAAATATGGCCAACTGACATTAAAACATTTTTAATCTGTGCCCTAGTGAGGCGACAAAACCTCTCGTTAATCGCGAATTGAAATTATTGTAGTATTTACGTACCTATAGAAAGAATTTATAATGCTTTATAAAGCAGTGCATTAAATAATTAGTAGTACCTACATTTAATGAAGAAAAAATACATTGTTGATTAAGACCCTATTTAAATCAATTTAAATGCAATCAGTAATAAAAATGATTGAATAATTGAAATAAAATCGATTAAATTTACCGATTATTGTCTATGACTTACAGGTTACAACACTGATGTGTCAGAGACAACATGGAGATTACACATAATTTTAAACTTCAAGTCAATTTGACAAGTCTCACAAATTTTCATCGTCCACATATTTTGCTAAAATAATTTGTTTCAAAGATTGATTTCAAACTTGTATAATCGTGAGAATAAAGTTGGTTTCATGGGCTTGTGAAATAATGTGTATGATATTATGAACACGTAAGTGATTATGGTGTAATTGTGTGCACAAGTGTTTGTTTACATCTAAGGAAATTTCTAAAGAATTTAGGTATATACCGCACCATCTATGCTTTAATTTTTTTGTAAATGAATTATTATACATAGAAAAAATCCAGTTTAAGTCCAGTATAAACTGACCTCATTCCCTCCAAGGGGCAGTTCCACAAATTCCGGCTGTATTGTGGTCGAGTGGATCCCCTCGTTGTGGAAGAACTCCTTGACTTTTTCAGCAATCTTCATGTACTCGGATAGGTTTCTACATCTGTAACAAGAAATGGACAAGTTAGAAACGACGCTATTTCTGAAACATTTTTCTAGGGTCAACATTATTAGGGTATTAAAATTACAGTACAGTTGGGTTGCACCAGTTGCACCATCTTACTTTAACTTTGACAAACGTCAAAAAACTGTCAAACTCCATACTATAATCACCGATTACCGTTAAAGTTAGGTGGTGCAACTCAGCCCGTTTTTTGACGATGGCAGACAATGACAATTTGTAAAAAAGTATTGATTTGGTAAGCGATCGTCATTTTCATCGCCATCAGGGCATCAGGTCATACGGTGCGGTCTCCACTGCACAGCTGCACAAAGTAAATACCTTTTCTAATCTAAATAAAATGGTGACGTAGGTTATAGTTTTATTGAATTAGCGGAAAAACTAAATCATAAATATTAAAACTCCTATTATAATGTAATCAGTAAAATAAATAAAAACGATATTCTGGAAGCCGTAAGAGAAAATATTAAAATTATTTATTAGTTCATAATTTAAAACCAATTAAGCCGTTTACTCAATCACCATGTTGATAAGATCTCAATTTGTCACCATCTGGCGATATTATTTCAACACAGCAATTAAAGCACTTGTAATCAAAGCAATTACTGTGATTTAATATGATAATGTGTTCGTGGAATATATTTAATGACGAAAAGTAAAAGTGAGCGCATCAAAATCAAAAGTTTTGTTTAATATTAAAGTTGAAATAACTTTTGCTTTGAATCGTTAATGTATCTATACTAATATAGGTAATGAAAGTTTGTTTTTTGTTTGCTTGAACGTGGTAATCTCAGGAACTATAGGTCCGAATTGTAAAATCTTATTGTGTTGGATTTATCGAGGAAGTCTTTGGGCTATATAAAATCACTCTACAGCCAATAGGGACGGAGCAGTAAAGAAAAATGTTACAAATACAGGAAATATTATTCAAACTTTTTTAAGCGTACGAAGTCGCGGTCACAGCTAGTATTTTAATAATAACGTATCGTTCCAATAATGATATTAATAACATTATCAAATTACCATTTGGTTACTTGATACTGCGAGCGTTATTCTCACGTAGCCGGTATTTCAAACAAAGGTGCATATATCATTAATGTTATTTCAACAAGCAAGCGTAATCTTATTATAGCTGCTAACTTAAATATTAAATGTACGACAACAAACACAGTTTGCGTTATGACATCAACCGAAGATAGGCACGTTTATGTTGAATTTAAATAATGATAAATTTTGAGACAATGAGGATGCATGTACTAAAATGAAAATATATCATGTCTACTTTTTGTGTGCTATATTTGCGAGGTGAAAGTTCCCATTAATAAGGCTGAGTTGTACCACCAATTTTAACCATTAATTTAACGAAAACCGTTATTTTTTGTATGGAATTTGACAGATTTTTGCCGTTTGTTAAAGTCAAGTAAGATGGTGCAACCCAGCCTTAGTGTTACTCTTTGTACAGTCAGCGTCAAATAGTTCGTGACAACCAAAGTAGCCAAAAAGTTTGCAACACGGCTTTGTTACAGTTGGAATAGGATTGTGTGCTATCGCTGCGGCGAACCCGGCCATAGACAGAGAGGCTGCTCGCTTAAATGCGCCTTGTGCGCAGCCGAGGAGAGAGCTGCTGACCACGTGACAGGGACCAGAAAGTGTCCCGTGCCGAAACAGCTCTCCAAAGCGAAGAAGGTGGTAGTTGCGTCCTGCGAGGAGTTCTCGCCCGCAGTCGCCGACCGCCTGACCAAGGAGCAGGCCTCACAGGCGGCAAGCTCACAGGGGGTACCCTCCGGGGGGAGGAGGCCCTCAACGAAGTGAGTCCCAGAGCGCGCGCGGGTGTTCCGCGCGCTTTGGAGGGAGCCGGTTGCGGCAGATGCGCGAGGTGCACACGTGGTGTTAAGCCCTTGGTGAGCCCTATGTGCACCTCATATCGCGCTAGCAGAGGACCCCATGAGGTTTTAGTGGGTAGGCCCCGTCCTTCTGGCGGGGAGAGTCCCACATAACCCCGGGCTGCCCCCGCGGCCCGGGGTATGCGCAAAGCATTTCCTCATGTTAAAAAAAAAGGGTTGTGTAGTCAACTTTTTGGTCACTTTGTGTGTCACGAACTATTTGACGCTGACTGTACAGTATAAGCGGGAACAAAATTTAAGCCCCGGTTTCCAATGAATGGATGGAAATGGTCTGGCCGAAATCTATACTAATATTATAANCTTGGTGATTCTAGCAAGTCGCGGGCAAAAGCTATTTGTAAAATAATTAGACTAAATTATTAAAAGTGCCTACCCAAAGTCATTATTCCACGCGGACGAAGTCGCGGGC